ATTATCTAATAATGGAAACCCGATACTCCACACACTTAGAACACCACCGTTCGGTTTTAAAACACGATCAACTTGTTGAAAAAATGTTTGAATATCAAACCAATGTAATGCTGTTGCTACTGTAATAAGATCAATTGAATTAGGTGATAAAAATGTTAAATTTTCTGCATTAGAACAATGATATTCAATATTTTCTTTTAATGTTGCATTTTTTAATTGATTTTCACTACAATCAATAGCAATAACTCGATGACAATAATAACTTAAATCAACAGTTGCTTGTCCACTGCCACATGCAACATCTAAAGCTAATGGAATTTTTTTATCATTATCATCATTATTGAAATCGATATTGGTTGTATTGAAATAAAATTCCAAAATTTTTTTATATAATTCTTGTGGATAACCAGTACGATATGCTTTGTAAATTGCTGTATGATCTGATTCATTAAACAATTGATAATTCATATTTGCACACAAATTTTCCTTGACACGTTAGTCTACTCGAAAAAATAGTTTCGAACAAGAAAAAAAAACAAGATGTCAAGAGAAGTTATTAGAAACTTTATTCAGGATGAAGAGGATTATGTCATTGGATAAAATGCAGAACCTGTTAGATGCACTAAACTATGAAAAGATAACTGTCAGATATTTCATGGATAAACGAATTGCAAAATAGAAAAAGCAGAATTTTTTTTTAATCATAGTAGATGGCTGAAATATCCACTAATATAGGAAAAAAAGAAGAATAGATAGCCGGGTTTTTTTTTGTAGTTCAATGATAGATGTCGCCAGAAACAGATCCATTTTAATAATACGATAACATCGTATGCAATTTGTAGAATCATGTGGGATTTCACCTAATTTCTAATGAAGATCTAATTTTTCAACATAAAACCATTCGAAACTATCAATATGGGTGTGGATGTTGTTCTTATCTTCATCCACGCACACTTCACATCCAAGACTGGAACTCATAACTTTTGTTTTTATGCTGACAAGAGCTATATAAAATTAAAGACATAATTGAAGGTGTCTATCGTCTTTTATACAGTGATAATCAATCGTTAAAACATTGATAATCCTATTTACAAAAATTATTTCAATATCAAAAAATGCAACATAACTTGTTAAAAACTATTATTCCTGTAGAGGGTGAACTGTAGCCAAAAAGAACAGAAGAAATATCTAGTAAATAAAACAATATGATAAAAGAAAAATACATGATCATTGCTTCTTTATCATCTCATGGTAAAGATAATATTACAAGAACAAGAAAAAAAACCAATGCTCTTTATACTCTTTCAGTCAGTGCAAAGTTTCAATAATTCTTGTTTTTATATAATAAGACGTGCTTATATCATAGAGTTATAGATTTAAGTTTATTAATAAAAATAAATCAATGGAAAAAACAAATTCAAAATCATCCGGTAAGTCTCAATTCTTACCATTAAATACAATAAAAACAGACTGGTTCTCTTGTCGAATAGTACCTTTTTGGCGTTTGATACGTATTGCTGTCACAGTTCTTGGATTTTTTGGAATGATAGCACATTATTCACAAAAAGTGAATGTTGGCATTGGTCTTGTCTGCATGGTTAATCATTCAGCAATTGAACAAAACAAATTAAATTCTACTACACTAATTACACATATAGATGATAGTTGTCCTCAAACAAATAGCACAAATCATATTGTAGATAAATTGCATAGAATATTTACCCTAGAGAAAGTACTGAGTTCAGGGTACCCATGTACTGAGAAAGCCTCAGCAGGGTACCCGATATGGGTACTTCGAAAATTTTCAGTAATTATACTGACGTAGGTGCTGCATTGGGTACCCATTGCAGTATGTTTACTGAACAAGTACTTGCATGAGTACCCGCACCTGTAATTTTACTAGGAAAAGCTCTACAGGGTACCCTGGATTTGTTGCGTTCTGTGTAGCAACTGTTCATTCACCGTTTTCTTTTGCATATACGGCTTCATATAAGCAACTCGAGAAAGCATAAGAAAAAAATATTTTTTCATACTAATTTTTTCTAGATTATTTTTCTTGACTATTTACTAGTCGAGGACATGCTGATCTCAATCGTAGATTGAGAGAGGACTACCTTGAAGTGGTCTGATGGAGATCCGACCAATTTGCGTCCGGTCAGATCTCGAAATTTGACCTGCTTGGCTTTTCAGAATTAGAAAAATAAAATAAAATAAAATCGAGAAAATATCATAAATTGCTTTGAGAGAAACAAAAATGAAAAAAAGCCAGAGGTTAGTTTCGATCATCAACATACTGCAAGTTTGGCAACAGGGTACCCAAAATTACTGAACAATAGTACCCAGTTGGGTACTTGATCAGTACCTTCAAGTACCCATTTACTGGATGCTTTCCAGCAGGGTACTTGGTCGAGTACCTTATAGATACCTAAAAGTACTTTAAGGTACTTCAGTACCCGAAAGTTCCTGTGACATACTAGTAGCAGGGTACTTTTTCGGGTACCCTTAGCTCAGTACATTCCCTAGGGTATTTATTCACTTCAGTTCATTATAGAAAGGTCCTTTTATTTGGACAAAAACTATGCAAGGTATCATCTTAGGTTCTTATTTTTGGGGTTATATTATAACTCAAATACCAGGTGGATATTTAGCTGGTCGATTTGGCCCTAGATTTCTATTTGGTGGAGCGATGATTGTATCAAGTTTATTTATTGCGCTCATGCCATTAATTGCACATGTACATTGGATATTATTTTGTATTCTTCGATTATTAGTTGGATTTTCACATGGAATCATTTGGCCATGTATGACTGTAATCATGGCTCATTGGGCACCAGTACATGAACGTGGAAAACTGATGGGTTTTATGAATGCTGGTAATTTCTTTTATTTTTGCCTATAATTTAAACTATTAATTTCATTGTACTGATAGGTTCACAAGCTGGAAATGCATTTGCTTTGTCGATTGGTGGATTGATGTGTTCATGGGATTTTGCTGGTGGTTGGCCATTAATATTTTATTCAGCAGGTAGATACTAATGTTTGATTCGAATATTATATTGTTCTACTAAAAAATATACTAGCTGTTTTTGGTTTTGTTTGGGGTATTATTTGGATTTTATTCTATACAAATTCACCACGGAATCATCGATTTATTAGTATACAAGAAAAAGAATATATTCTTCAAAATACTCAGCAACAATTATCTAATAGTAACAAAAATGATTTTCATGTTCCATGGCGAGCTATTCTCACATCACCAGCTTGTTGGGCATTATTTATTGTTCATACGTGTAATAATTGGGGTACTTATACGTTTCTAACTTCTACTCCTAAATATATGAATGAAGTTCTAAAATTTAATATTACATCGGTATGTAAAAATACATTATTAATTTATTTAATTTAGTTTTAAAATTTAGAATGGACTTCTTTCATCTTTACCTTATATTGCCTTATGGTTGAATATAAATATATCAGGTTTTATAGCTGATGTAATCATTCGTAAAAACTTGTTAACAACAACAAATACAAGAAAATTATTTAATATACTTGGAAATCTTTTCCCAGCAATATTTGTGATTGGTTTAGCATTTACGACATGCCGATTAAAATATGTTGCTGTCGTATTATTAACAATCGGTGTTGCATTTCAGTAGGCATATGTTTTAGTTCTGTAAGGAAAATAATCTTTATGTTTCAGCGGTTGCTGTTTTGGCGGAGGATATTTACTCGTTGCAAATGATATTGCACCAGCATATACAGGAATAGTCTTTGGTATTTCCAATACATTATCAACAATACCAGGTATTGTTAGTCCGTATGTGGTTGGTATTCTTACAGAAAAAGTTAGTTTAGTTCTCTTAAAATATTGATAAAGGATAGATTTTTGATCGTTTTAGGATCCGAATAATTGGCGTATTGTATTTTTTATTTGTGCTGCAATTTACATTATTGGAATGATTGCATTTACATTTCTTGGATCAAGTGAACTACAACCTTGGGCAAGAACATCCGTTGCAACTCGTGTCTCATTTGAAAATCCATTGTCAAGTAAGTTTTATATATTATTAATCGATCGAATTTGTATGTTTTCCTTGTTTCAGAAGAAAATGATCAATCAGTGAAAATTGACAATGAACCATAATGTATACAAATAGTAATCAAGCAATGTAATTATTAGATGTTTTGAATATTGAAAATAATTTTTATTCAACAAAAATATTGTTACTGGATTCGAATGTCACATTTAAGTTCACTGTTGAATAAATAAAAGATCTTGACATACTTCACTATTATTTTCGGTGACATCTTATTTTTTGATAGATGATATGAATCGAATAAAAAATAACAATTGAATTTTAGTCGATACACATTAAGACAGATCAGTATCATTGATCGTTTGATCAATGTGAAGTGTTCATTAAATCATATACCTTACTTGTACAAATTTTCGTTCGATATCCAAGCAAATCTTTTTTTTAAACTTCAAGATCTTAACATAATTTCCAATGAACTAAATACTGATATTTCTTTGATTCAGTTTAATCAAACTTTTGCTGGAATTTTCTAATTGATTTGGATATGTCAAACGATTTTTTTCTGGAAATTTTTCAATAGCTTGATAGTTGTGATATAATAAAAGCATTTTTTAATCTTAATATTCGATTTTGATGTCTTAGGACAGATTCATCTTTACTACTTAAAATAAAACTTTGTTCAGAAATAAAATCAGAAATTCATAAACAAGTTGTCACACCTTACAAAGATGAAATGCTTTCACTTCATTTATCCTTCGAACGAGGGACCCAGATAGTAAATAATATTATGGTTAGATATTGTTGAAAGTAAATTTCAAATCGGTTTTATACATGTATAGGAATAGGATTATTAGATATAAGATGATCGATTTTAAACACACCTCGATATAATTATGATCCATATTTCTGTTTTGTCTAAACAGAGAAAAAACCTACTGAACTGATGCGAATTTGATATAACGATTAAAGAGATGACGAATCGTCAATCGAATTCATGTAAACGAAAAGAATCATCCAAATAGAAGAGTGACACCCACACCAATTTATAGGCAAAGAATCGTTAACTATTGATTATCATACAGTTTCACAATTATAACATGGAGATTCGAACTATTATTGAGAATTGAATTTAGTAAAAAGGATTAGAAGTTTTATTTGTTGGCTAGTACTATAGTATCGTATTATTTTATGACTTATTATCGAAATGTGAAAGGTAGTTGTTGTCTCTCCATTGGATGAGATCTTGTTGAGGATTATGCTTTTTTTGTGCTTCGTTGAATACATCACACTCGATTTTGAGAATTTTGAGAAATTTTTGCAACGGAACCATGAATGATTGAAGACGTGCAAGTTCATCCTCCTGACGTTTTTTGAATATGACTGCTATTTTTGTATGATAGATTTTTCTGGCTTCTACACAATTTTCTTCGGTCAGTTTTTTTCTTTGTTCTTTTGTTGTGTTTTCAAATTAATCTTTTCTGATTCATTCAAGGAAGTTTTCTTCAGATTCTGAACGATGCAGTCCAGACGCTTCTGATACTGTATTTCTTGTTTCTTCAATGCGTTCAATTCATCTCCGGTTTCATTCAATATGGCAAGTTCTTCTTGCAGTTGATCTTGTAGCGATGGATATTGATTTTTTTTTCGGCACAGATTTCGTAATTTATTTAAGATTTGGATTGATATCATCCGATTCTTGAGCTATTTGATAGGCGATGAAACTTGCAGCTATGAGAAGTTGCAACGTCGTCTCATAGGATCCTAACGAAGACTGATTCTGTTGAAATTTATTTTCCCATTTTGTGCTCCACTGTTTATATTCCTCGGAATGTCGCTCTCGCATATCATTCATCTCTAGGAGCATTGAATGGAGCCTCTCTTGAAGTTTGAAACCTATTTTGAAAAATGATTCGACATGTCAATCAAAAATGTGAGCAAATTACTATCAATTTGCTGCTGAGTACCATCGGGTGTGTAATCGACAGTATTCTCTTCGTTCAAAGTGCTCGCTGTCTGTGGTGTACTCGGTAGAGATGATGGTGACACTAGTATGGCTACTTTCTTATTTGATTTCGACACTTACCGTTTGATGTAAGATAGCAGAGGCATGTTATCTGTCTCTGCTTATTTGTGAATTATAAGACGAATGTCTACTGCGTAGATATATTTATACTCCCTATAATGTTGTAAATAATGACGTCAAATGTAACTCTTTGACAGATGTAATTGGAAGAAGAAATCAACACTGACATGTGTGTCTTTTTTGTTTTTATTCTTAAAAATAACAGGAATTATATTATGAGGATGAGATTATCGAAAGTAGTTGCAGAGACTTTACTCAATGGATGTGTTCTGCACTGGTTTTTTTGCTTCTTGATTGTTAATAGAAAGAAAACAGAAAGAGGTTTTGCTCAGTTATTGACAATCTAGAATGTTTGTGCAGAACGAAAAAGAAGTAAAAAACCCACATATAATGAGAATTTTATTATCTGAATTTTTATCAGACGCACGGAGAGCACGATGGATGTTTCGATTGGCCCACAAATTTAACTTGGTATTTTGCTCCATTGCAAACGAATGATGACTCATATTTGTTTAGTAATGGTTTGTGGGAAAAAAACCATAGACATATTACGATCATAAAATGCAATGAGTTACTCAAGGTGAATTCTGATTGACATCCATAAAGGAATTCAGTGAAAAGGTAGAAAGTAAAAATTAATGTATTGCAATGGAAAAGAACAAGTCGCAACAATAAAATATTGACGGAGTGTCATAGTTTAAACGTATATCGAACTTCAGGCGAATATGTAACTAATTGGTCAAACACATCTCGTACGAATAAATGAGCTCCTTGCTGAAGAGATGTGTGGGTGTGAGTATGGATGTGCGTGTGCGGGTGGGTGTGGTGAGTGTGGGTATAGGAGGGTGTATTATTATCTTCATCACACCCACACCCACACTCACACCCCACCCGCACTCTAGCCTGTATCAGATTGCAAGACGTTGCTTGTCAAGACAATCCATCCCGACAAGCTGCAAGTCATTTCAGACTAGACCAGACAGTAGTGCGGACATTTTAGACTAGTCATGTCGAGCATCCTCCCTTATTTTTTGCTTGCCTGGGAGTTCATTTTTGAACGTTCTATGAGGCAAATTCTGACACATGGCATTGATTGTGTATAATCGATTAAATTTTTAATCAATTATTGGGATTTGTCTAGGAAAATCGATTAAAATCTATTATTATATCTATTTTAATCGAACATAGTTACTTTTGATCGATTTTTTGTGATTATTCAAAAGAAATCGATTTTAGTCTGACTTTTTATGCTTTTTATATGGGTGGACAAATAAACTGCGGACCAGATTTCTTTCATAGAATCCGACCATTTTCAGCGTATGCTGTTTAGACAGGGTACGCTTATTTCAGTGTAAAAGATGAAATAAGTCTTTTTTAAAAGACATCATTTTAATACATCACATGGAAAGCATTTTGACGCATTTTTTGTAATCATTTTGCATCATTATAGTATTTTATCTATGGGCATTTTGATGCCATTTTGGAATTTGTTTCCCTGTGTGAGATGCTAAAGCTTTTCGTGATGTTATGCGCACAGATCAATGGGAAAGAGTTAATCATTTGCATAGTGAGTCATAAGTATTTAACGAGTAGATTTCTTATTTTTATAGAGATTACAAGGCAAACAAGAGAAAGAAAGAGAAAAATGTGGAAATAACCAAGAAGCATACTGAAAAAAAAAGGGAATTATGATAGAAAATTCCAAGATTGATGATATCAGGTTATCTATTTTCCACTATTGTCATATAAGAGGCTGGTTAAGACACTGGCAGTTCGCATATACGATTCAACTTATAAGTAAGATAGTTACAGGTTACTCTTAATATATTTTACGGTAGGATGTGTTTATCTTTATCGTACTTTGAGGAAAATAAAATAAAGTGTGTATATTTTATTTTATCCGATAAAGTCGATGGCATGCACCACGCTATATTCTATTAGGCAAAGTAACTTAAGTCTAACTTTACTCGAAAAATAAACTGAAGCCAAGTGAATTAAAGCTCTCGACACATCAGAAGACTCGGGTTTTCTATTCTGTTTTATCATTCACAAGTTGCAAAGGGATCTTCTATTATGTCTCCAGATTGAATGATACGGCCGTATACTGTGAAAATATGGATCCGTATACGCGTCGTATTTATTATGTCCAAGACGGCACCGTATACGGGACCATATTTCTACAGTAAACAGACCGTAATCTCATTGTGACAGAGCCGTATTTCTGCGCCTGCTATACAGACCGTATCGTTCGAGCTGAGTCTCTGAAAAAAAAATCAAATTTTTTGCGTGAGTTGAGTGACAAATCATAATTTCCACCTTTTTTGTTCAATGCAACATTAGTGACCGAGCTTATATTACATATTCGACGCTCGTACAATAAAAAAAGAATCGGATAAGGTTTTAATGAAAAAAAAGAAAACAATCGTTGGTTAGAAGAGTGCTCTTGAAACAAGGGTGGGTGTTGCTACTCTCTATATCAACACCCACACCCACACCCTTCTCAGCCTGAAACATCAGTGTGAGGTTGGAGAAAAGAAACTCACTCTCACTTACATGCATCCTTCTAACAATGTGCAAAGGAATTTATACCATCGCTGCACCTAGACAACGTGGTTGGATTTTTCTCAAAATAGCTTTTCTATCATTTCATATAAAGCACAATTTTCTCGAATCAAGAAAGTGACACATCGACGACACCGCTTCGTGAAACTGATACAAAGTTAGGCTGCTACCAAAATTTAGAACAGATATTGAACATGGCAACCATTACCACTACAACTACAGAAATCACCGATGAATTTGAAAAAGCTGCCATGGATGGAGCAAAAAAAGCTTTGAATGAAAATTCACCATTTTGGGGTGGTGTCGAATGGTTTATCAATTTTCTTCGAACGCATGTGAAAGCATTTTTTACTACGCATATTAAATCTATACCAATTATCGGTCAATTCGCGGCAAGAGTTGGCACAACGGTGACTGAATTTATATTCACAGTTTTGGGTACACTCATCGGTTTTCTTAAAGTGGTCTGGAATAGTCCTCAAATATGGGACCAGGCTCATGCGATGGCAATGCAAGCGTGGAACGCAAATGCTGATAATGGACTTTTGGCACAGATCTATGCTTACGGGAAGAAAATGGCGGGATATTTTCTGGAAATTATTAAACAATGTTTCGAACGTGCGGTCAAAGCTCATGGTTTGGAAATGAATCTAACTGAAAAACAAGCTATTTCAGGTTTATTAGATTCATTACTTAATTAGTAGTTATCAAGATCGTTAGTCGTGTAAGTTGATGATAATTCCAAGAAGCAGACAATGATACTCAAATTTTAATCATGATTTTTTTTTTCTTGTTATTTCATAAACTTTCTTTTCTTGCAAAATATTAAGAAGAATATGACGCAGTTCCATTCATATCAACACTAGAGAATAGAAAGTTTGGCGAAAGCAATAACCAATGATCCGAATTCAATATCGAATGACGAATACAGAAAGAGATATCAAAAGAGAATTGTGACGATGAAACTTTACATTGAGCGTTGCAATAATTACTTCAAAGATGTGCTCTAGAATCATTGACTAAATGTTTTCCTTTCTATCAGGAAATTTCCGAGTTCACGAGAGTTTTTGAACGCTCTAAATAACCCATGGCGTAAATTTTTGCGAAAAAAACGCGTTCTGAAAACGCGTTTTTTCATAGCTGCAAAACGCGTTAATGCTGGCCGGTTTAACGCGTTTCACATTTGCTAAAATAAACGTTGCGAAACGATTTTTTCTTAAAATCATTTCGCAGTGTTTCTGGATCTGTGGTATTGCATACTTTGAAGGATAGAAAAAAACAAAACTCGTCAAGTACTTCGTAGAACTCAAATTGCAGGTGCGATCTATATACTGATTTACATTAATTCATAGAATTATAGAGTTAACTTACATTAGTTTCGATAAAGTTAAGAGGTGGATTCGAACAGGAGAACATAAGAGTAGAAGATATGTATACAAACCGCTCAACTAAAATAATCAAATGATATAAGTGTTTGCTCTATTCTTATTTAGATATCTTGTACAGATTTATGATTCGAATAAATTTTGTTTCACGTCTGAATGAATCGATGAAAAATGATATTCTTTTTGCTGCTTTTATCCAAGGAAGAGTGTCATTTTCCGTCAATTTATTTTAAATTTAACTTTTAGAAATTTAAATTTGTAAAACTTTATTTTTTTAAAGTTTAAATACCCAATTAAAATGAATTTAATTCCATATAAATTGAATTAAAAATTGTAAAAAGATTAAATTTCGTAAATTTAAATTCAAAAGAACTGTAATCGTAATTTTGCAAAATTTGCAAAGTTTTTGTTGAATTGAATGTTTTTTTGTAAATGTAAATCCATGATCAGTAAATCCAAGTGCAATCACAACTACAAAAATATTTTTTCTGTAATTCGAACCTCTTTTATCAAAAAGCCGCACTTACATACATCGATAGTGTACGAACGAAAGTGGTATTCTAGTCATGTTTCGGAGAGTATATAATCAGTTACTATAACGCAGTCCATACATAAATTATCAATAATTATTATTATAAATCGTAAATTATCCGAAAATACTTTTTTCACACAACAACATTGAGCTGTCCTACGGATTATTTTTGCATCAGTCTTTACTGAATTTCTTCAAATTCTTCAACATTTTACAGAATTCTAGATTCAATGCTACGAAACGCGTTTTCTTTGAATGAAAACGTAGTGAAATGAGTTTTCTAACAGAAGATAACTGTAGAATACACTCTGATGTTCAATACTAGCCTAACTTCGAAACAGCCTTAGAAAACGACGTAATTCGTTGAAGTCTTAGAAGAACTTAATTCTGACCTTGGCTAAGGAAGACCTGCGCCGCCATCTTGAGGATCAAAAACAATGCAATCAGCAAATGTTTTGTAAAACCATTTCGCATAATTTCCAAAATCATATCAGAGTTGACTTTTCTTGACTCACATGGTTTTTGAAGATGAATTGGTGCGAGATGCTCTAACAAAAGAGATCAGTTTTGCATCATTCGAAGCGTAACCGATGAAAATGCATTTTAAAAGAACCTGTTTCGCATTTTCTCCGAGTTGTGACTCTGTACAATGCTTTTCTTGTCGACTTAATGAGTTTAACAGTGTTTCATTTGGGAAACGCTTCGCAACGTAATCGCAAAAAGAAGCGTTTCGTATCGTTTCAAAAACTCAAGGCAGCAAAACGCGTTCTATATAAGTAAAAAGACTGTGAAACGCATTCCGTCTCGAAGAAACGCTGCGAAACGCATGCCCCAATCTTGGAAACGCGTTACACAGTGCGTTTCCTTAGATATTTTACGCCATGGGAACTTGAATTCAAGTTTTTCATCGCTTAGAAAAAAAATCTCCGTCCTGATAATTTCTCAACTTTTGTGCAGCTCGTTTTTATTCCAGCCAGTGACCATCATAAAACGGTGATTTACTCAACCAACAATCCTTTTTATTATTTTGCTTCATTTTCGTCGACATGCATCAAAATGGCTTCCTACTCTCATACGAAACATAACAGAGTCGAATTGCAAGCACAAAGCGTACCCATAACAACGATAAAATACCTGAGCCGATAAAAGCATAGAAACACGTGTTCTCTATATGATTAATAAGTCAGCATTAGTTAACGTTGATTTTCGAGACGTCAGACATGATAGTTGCCGGTGTGGGTGTGTGTCTTCTGTTCTAACACACCCATACGCACACCGATCCACATCTACACCCATACCCTTGCTATATGTAGCACTTTTATAAGCCCTTCAAACGGACTAATGATTATCATAAACATTTTGGGGTGTGGATATGGGTATTACTATTATTATTCATACCCACACTCACACCACACCCAGAATGCTTAAATTTCAAGATATTTACAGTTTGTCACGTGTCCACATTACGAAATTTCATCAACACTTAGTTTTCTTTTTTTCGTCATGGTTGGATGGAACATGACTATTTACACAAGGAGAAACAATATCACACGTATTCAAAAGTAATTTTACAGCAATTAAAATTTTCTGTTTATTACCTTTATAATTAAAAAAATGTTGTCTTAGACTTTGTATAGTTTGTTTTTTAATATGTATGGTATTGTTTTTTCTTATGTAAATGGTCATGCTCGATCCAATCATGACGAAAAAGAAAGTTAAACGTTGATGAAATTTCGTAGCGTGGGCACATAACAAACTGTAAATTTCTTGAAACTCGAATATCTTGGTCTATGTACACTATTGGTAGCTCATATTTTTAATTAGCTGGTTTGACAGTGGCAGCATTCATTTGATCCTACTATAATCAATCTCCTTAGCTTACAGTACAGGATCTTTCAATCTAAGCTATATAATGTTTGTGTTGCCTTTCTTTACCATGAAATACTTTTTGGAAATAAAGTATGAGTCGATAAGCCAAAAAAAAGTGAAGCATTTTGTGCAAGTATGTCAACATGATAGACCTTGGTTTGCAAGAAGTTACTTTTTCTGATTAGTTTCCAATTTCGAAGAAAAAATTCTGATTTTTTTCTGATTTTGAAAACAAGAAATTCTGATTTTCGAGTTTTTCATTTGGCAATCCTGGTTCAAAAAGAAATAAACCATTCTAGAAAAGTAAAATTTCAATGGGCAAATCTCCAAATGAAATGAGCAATTGCTCATTTGCCCTTCCGTTGGCTACGTCGCTGACTTCCACTCGTATAAATCAACATCTAATCTCAACAAGATTCGTTCTGGTTAGCGATATGACAATATGTTGAGAGGGACTGAGAAAAAAAAAATTTTGAACAGTGCTAGTATTGCCTCCGAGCGAATAAATCACATGTTTCCAGCGATAAAAAGCTTTCAGCGCAATCCCTGCGTGATTAAAAATGTGAAACACGATGGAGCTTTTTATATTGTGAATGAACGAATTTAGTAATGTATGTCTCAATTTTCAATCACTACGCACTGTTACAGAGAGTGTGAGGAGTAGAGACCAGAGAACTTTCTTAAAATATATCGTTTTTTACAAGAAAAGCAAAATGAAACTTGACTGAAGGTTTAATGAAAGTGATAGCGTTTATAATTGTTCATTTTTCTATGAGAAAATATCTTGTTTTAATATTTTGCATTGCTACAAATAATCCATTTTATACCATTTCTGTCAATTAACTAATGTTTCCACCTTTTCTCATTAGTTAATAACAAGCAGTAGACTTTACTTGCGATACTGCCTGTGTAGCAGTCTGTAATGGTCTCGTAGTGATGTCTGTCACGGTCTGTGACGCACGGTCAGCGTTGCTAAGGACGTATGTCACGTCTGTGACGTGTCGTTGCTAAGAATGTCTGTCACGTCTGTGGGGGGCCGGGAAGTGGGTCCAAATTTCTGCCACTATACACTTCAACACTCCTTTTAGATCGTGTTTTACAAAAGAATCCTTGCAAACCTTATCACTGCTGAAGTAAGGTTACAAGCCTCCCAGCAAACATTGAAAAGTTGATGAAACCAATTGTCAATTGGATTTAGGGTAGTTACTCGTAAAAGCATTTTCTCGCGAGTGTGGATGCGGATGCTGGTGTTTAAGTAGATGTAGAAATGCAGTACACTGGCACTTATTTAGATCCACGTCCACGCGAGTAAGTGTCCAGCCTTCCTTTCAATGAAAAGATGGAAGGCCAGAAAGGTTGGCTAAATATGCATGGTTTGTTAAAATATTCACGAAATACTAATATCGAAAAATGTTGAATACTTCTACTCGAAAACGAAGGATTGAGTTATTCAACTGTACAAATCTGTGTGTTAACGGTCGATACAAATTATATTGAAAATTATTTATACAATGCTGGTAAAATCGAGATTTTCTTCAATTCCACAAATGTTTGCAAAAAAATGAAGCTTTAAAAATTGTTTTTAGGATTTTCTTCTCTCTGCAAGTAATCGGAACGAACCTATTCTATGATAAAATACTGCGCTGTACCAGTCTAGAGTCAAATGAATCGATTTTCGATAAACGTTACTTGTAAATAATGGAACGACTTAAATAAGAAATTACGTTTTCTGAACCGGTAGAGTGTTTCAACTTCACTTGACTCTAAAAACAAGAACTTAGTTCACTTATTCCTAGATAAAAAGTCAGTCTTAGATTCTCTTCGAAAAGATCTCGATGACTACGGTTGACCTGCTTGTCAGTGATCTTTTTCTTGAAGAAAAAAGCTTTGAAAAAAACTAAATAATACACATCTTCATTTTAATCATTTCTCTCACTGCTTTACTTTTGTATACAGGATGATACCGTCCTAAAATCAAAATCAATCAATAAGTTATTTTTTCTTAATTTATTGGGATACTCTTCAAAACTTCTCGCATATTAATAAGCTGAAGGATTAAAATAACACTCAAGAAAAAAAATGAAGCGAAAAGAAAATCTAGATT